TGAACAGTACGTGTGTATGTATAAGCTACGTGACTACATATGTATGTATATCCAATGGGTATGAGCAAGGACCTATGACTGTGTGTTTTGTGTATCTGCATATAATGGCGCAAGCAAATTCAGAAGTTTGCAACAGTGAATGTTTGCACATGTAAATTGAGTTGCCTTATATATAGAATCTGTATCTGTACATAAATGTTTTGTGCTCGATAACAGCAATTCATTAATAATACAAGAACAGGATCAAGCTCTTCACCAGGTGTGGGTAAGGCAGCCTCCTCCTCCTCCTCCTTCAGTAGGACGCGGGGGTGGGCCGCCTCACCGCCTACCCAAACACAAGCATTGAGAGTCCACACAAAGCACTTGACCCCCAAATGATGGAAGACCCTGTAACCGTTTTCTATTAGATCAATCTACATCCCTCATGCGTTATAGGAGAACAATAAGTTTGTTTTCCAAAATAAAAATTTGAGAACAACAAATGATTACTAAACATATTTTATATACATAAACTTTTGCTAAATGGTGTTCAAGTGAATCTACAATTTGCCTTTAAAGAAAAAGTGAAATTAAGGTACTATCAAATCTATCGAGTTGTACACCCCCACCCACCCTCGCTTGGGAAAGACAGATGCTCGCATTTTCTGTCAAGTACCTGGAATTCTACCCTCAGTAAAGGTGTTTTTTCCCTCGAGTATACCGCACATCTGGTCCTTCACTACATAATAAAATCAAACGGTCTCTTCTCGTCGGCATCCGCCCCAACCTCACGATATCGCTCTAGGGAATTTAACCTTAAATTTATATTACCTCAACTGTATTTAATTATCCTGACAAATACTCCTTAAAAGTAATTAAGCCTCAAATCAAGACATAATTATTGCTGCCATAAAGTTGACCTCCATGTCTCTATAGATTGGACCACTCACGAGACAGCAGATGGGAAAGAATACAGTTCACTATGTAAACAAAGATGACGTCACAGGGTTCACGTGGACTAGATGATGGATCACTTCACATTTCTCGAGTGGGATAAGTGAAGAGAAAAAAAAATCCGAGTTATTAGGCAAACACAATATGTTTTTATTGATCTAAATTCCTCTTTATATCTATTTATTCTTATTTATTTGGTGCTTTTCATTCGTGTTTTATTTAATTCATTATTGTAATTTTACTGGCGTTTATCTATTTATTTTATATACTTCATAACCCTTTATTTGTTGTCCTTTGTCAAGTTTCTGATCATCCGTCCTTTATCCCTCTACCTTTCACTCCTTGTCATTTATCATTTATCATTCCCCTCGTTATATCATCCTTCAGTTAATGCTCGTTATTTTCACCATTATTTATCCCTATCATTTATTCCCTAACATTTATTCCCCATCATATATACTCGTCAATTATTCCCCTACATTCCCCTTCTGTCTCTTAATCCCCCCCCCCCACCCCTCTACCCCACTGTTACTAGCTATTTCATGTACGTATTGCCAGTGGTCCTCTCTACGTTTTCCGACATTATTAACCTATGACATTATAACAAGAAAGACATATCATCCCTCACACGTTTTCACACATAACTAATTAACTCTCTCTGTGATGACGTAGCTTACACAATTTTATTCTTAATGTGACTTTAATATATATAAAAAATAACTTAGTTTGTAAATAAAAAAGTTCAAATAAATTGGTTAAAATACTTCATAGTCGACCAAAAACACCAACTGATAGTATATTTGGTTTTCTAAAATCATTTATTTGATTTACTAATACAGTATATCCTGTTTAGAACCTTAATAATATCCCGATTCACTTACAAATAACAAAGTAATTTCATGTACGATTACAGAAACCTTTCATTATATAAGACGTATATAGCCTAATGATGGTCCAGATCGGGATGAACAAGGTGTAAGAGAACTCGGTTAAGTATATTAAAGATTTTCCAACAACCTGTACAGCCAGGATATACAGCGGGAACATTTGACCACACCTCAGAATTAATAAATGAGAATTGACGTCTTTTAGTATTTTGTTCACTAAGTTTATGTTCAGACGAGTATAATATTCTGTATACGTGTTATTTGAGACTTTTTTTTACTTGTTTTGGAGGATCTTTAATATTGATAATGAAGCAGTTTATTTACCTGTGTAGTGTTCATGTGCAACTCTCTAAAATATATAATTATATACACGAGAAAATTAACTGCGATGTTAATAAAAAATTCTTTAACAGGTAAACTTTAAATTGTATAAGAGGAAGTGCTTAAAATACTGTTACATATTATGAATTTAGTCAAACTAAACTTAATTTAACCAGTTTCCTCTTTGCCTCTTGATATGTAATAATAAACGAAATATGGATGACCTGCTTCTGTTTGTAAATCCTTCACACAAGTGCCCACTAAACAGGAGGTTGACCCATACAGGAATCCTCCAAGCATTCCTCCTCTGGTCAACACCGCAACGCTATCTTCACACGTCTCTCTTTAGCGTGTGACTGAAGTGGAAAATCAGAAACAGGTACTTTTAAGTTTCTCCCTCTTGTTGATGGTAAAGCTAGGGACTTTTTCACCTTTAAATATGGCAAAATAAAGAAGTCACTACCGTGGTTTCTCAGACTATGGAGAACAGTTCTCAATATACTTGGCAACACCTTTCCCTGGCTACACCATTCACTACGACCAACGAACCTCATGCATAAACACTCATCAGCTATGCAGTCTGTCATTCCAGTTAGCGTCTCAATTCGGTTCTCGCGCATTCCCTTCATGAATTTTTGTGCATGACAACAATCCATTAACCTGGAGTGGATGAGAGGGTCTTAACACCGCATATGACTCGACACAAAAAAGCCGACGCTGATTAACGAACACTAAAGCAGTAAAAGGCGACGATGTTTACGACAACGTTAATGAGACTCGACTCCATGCAATTATGTATTAACAAGTGGCCGCTGGTGTCGGTAAATGAGTACAATAACAGGGTTGAAGGGGACACTACATTAAGACCCGCCAGGAGCTGCTCACATGAACAAATTATTTCTTTTTCTTCTTGATTTATTAATATTTTAATTATTATCATACCCCATTATTTTTCTCTTCAATGTCTGTTTTTTTAAGAGTTGAAGGACAAAAGACGTAATGGTGTATGAAACAATATATAAGAAGGATCAGCTTAAGATTCGTCCTCCAAGCTTATTTTACTTTAAGATTAACTAACCTAACCTCCAGGTAGTTTTATTGAGGTTATTACGGTTAAATAAGCGGAAGGGAGAATTCTTCATGTAATTCCATGATAAATATACACATGAAATTCGGCAATGTGCACATGTAAGAATGAATAAATTGAGATATATGAGATAATACACACACACACATAATACTGTATATAACAAAAATAAACCTCAAAACACAGCTACACCTATCATACACAGCAGAGCCCTACCCACCACCAACACATCAAACACAGGCACACGCATCACCAACTTGGGCTGACGAGCCAATCTATCGATCGCATTTAGCGCTATTGATATAGGGATAAAAATACTCAATGGCACCCGCAACTCAACAGATGGTTTACGGGAAGGACAGGAGACCAACCTTTTGATATCACTCACCATTCCATTGGTTATCGCCTATATCCATCTCCGTTTGGTAATTATTTCTCTCCTATAGTGATCGATTAACAAAAATTACCACATTTTATTAGGGAATATATTTACATGAATACCTATCAAATGGGGGTATACTAGAGAGAGATATCAATGAAATCATGGGGAAATTTTTAATACCGATGGGTGAAAGTTTCCGGGAAGCTGCGAGGTGAAGTGGTTATTTTCGCGCCATCTCAACATGCCGATGGAGCCCTGCCCATGGATTGAACGCCACTGGATGAAGGAATGAAACAGTCGGAAGGGAAAGAAGTATTGTAAACATAACATTAACAGTTCTCTCAAAATTTACCTACAGGGAATTAATTTTGGGAGATCATTTTATGTTAGAAAATTGAAAATGAATGAATCTTTTTTTTAACATAATACTTTGTACCAAAATGTTTTCGTCCCAACAATGAACGTTCTTTGTATTCTACGACGAACAAAAGTCGGATTATCATAATTGGTTTAATTGACTGTATTCATATATGGATCAAGGCCAACTCATTGTTAGTGTACAAATCGACCTATTTCGAAGACTCGACTCCATACCACCTTCAGTAATCATTAAAATCAAAATCAATGGAGATTTTTCTATGAGTAAGCTATGGTTGTTCTCGATCCTGCTGTTGTCTGGAGATTTATTCTAATCCAATGAGTTATAGCTACAGTTTTTATGGTGAGTTAAGGTTGTTGGCGAAAGTCCATTGTTGTCTCCATGTGGTGGGGCGCCAGTTAACGCTCACCGATTTTGTCTTCGAGTTATTGTCTTCGTTATCAAAGAGATGAGAAGTTAAAGCACTCTTAACTAACTAGAAATTTTACCTATATATAAGTTTAAAATGAAAGAGTTAAAATACATAAAATACCAATGCAGATGTACATATATATTTAGCTGTTTAACGACTGGTGGCAACTGAGGAGGATTATAGCCATTCAAATCCGCAGCTGCTCCAAACCTCACCCCAAATTATTGATATCGTGTGTGAAGCCTTACGATACATTGAGTGTGAGGTGTTCTTCCACTTCATGACTGGCCTTAACTACCCTAATGTATTTAGTGTAGAGACAGATTTAAAACTAGTGTGTGAAGATCGGGAGAGGCATAGCGGGCGTCCAGTGTATCAACAAAGAACACTACTCAGTTGCGGCACGTGCCACACCGGACACGCGCTACCTACGGCACGAGCCGCACGTGTGCTTGGGCGGAGCTCTCATTCACCCGGCGCTCCGATTGGTTTAATATTTGGCGGGAGGGATTTTGATTGGAGGCCTGACAGCTGATGGGTGGGGCTAATGCACGCGCGTAGGTCTTTCAGCCCCAGCACGCGCAGACGCATTCCGTTACCGCCACGGTCAGACGGGAGAGATTGTCGCGCGACAGAAACCCGGCGAAAACGGCGGCAAGTTTGAAGTGAAGAGGATAAAACCGTTATTACCCGCCAGTGTCAGAAAACTACCTCGGCGGTGGATGTGTCGTGGTGACAGTGTTGGTCGTGAGGGTGACTTGTTATATCCTTTGTTGAAAGGGGAATTATGAACGAAAAAGGACAGTGATATTATAGTGATATAAGAGTTTAACAGAGAGGCAGCCATGTCAACGGACGTGGTGGTCATGCAGAAACCTATTAAGGTTGAATTTCACAGCCCCGTGAAGCCGGAGGTCCTAAAACCTTCCAACACCGCCAACCTCCAAAATATCCACAACAAAACAGCCAACATCATCAACAAGGTCCCGACAATCACAAGCAAGGTCACGAACTTCAACAAAGTGGTGTCCAGTGGTGTCACCAAGTCGACTGACAACAGTTTCACTAATAAAAATGTCTTAGGGAGAGTCAACATCAGAATCCAGCCCGTTACCTCAAAATCAACTGTGATCAAATCGTCTTCTCCTCAGGCTACTAAATCACCATATAAACCTCTTACTCCCATCAGACCATCACCAACAATCAAGAGCTCCATCACCACCACGGTCACCACCACCACATCACGGTCCCCCTCCTCCTCCACCACCATCATCAGAACGCCCCCGTCAGTCAACAAAACGCTGGAGTCTTCATCTCTCTCATCGTCCTATTCCTCGTTCAATTCTTCATCTTCGTCTCCGGGTATCAACTTGTCGCCAGCTAAGTGCAGAAGAAGAATAAATTACTCCGACACTGAAGTTCGCGTCCCAGTGTCCAGAAGAAATGCCAGAGAGAGGAACAGAGTTAAACAGGTAAGAGTGTGTTTTCTGCAGCCCTGTTACCACGGATTTTTTGTGTGTGTTAGAAATGGGCGTGTCCACTTTTTCATTAAAATCATTAACTGATAAAATATCTTGCTTGCATTGAAGATACTACCTGCATGCACTTGTGGTAGTGTTAATAGAAGACCTCTGTAATGCAGCTTGTGAGAATAATCGTATTGTAGTGATAAGGGACGGAAGTTTCCCATGTTTTTTGCTTGAGTACTTCAATTGCCCATGTTATTTGCACGGTTCGACTTCTATTGATCGTACACCCATGTCTTGTAGTGGAAATAGTACTCGATGTTTTTTTCTGTAATAAAACGTGATTGTCAATATTGTAAACGTGTTTCTGTAATAACATTTATCATCGTTTTTTTTTCTTCTCCTATTTGCTTTGTCTCTATTTGATACCAGTTTGGGGTATTACTAAGAATAGTCATTATATTGATTTATACTCATAACACCGCAGAAGCTTCTAACTCCTTTCCTATACTGAGGCAACTACTGTTACTACTACTAATATTGCTGCTGTTACTATTACCACTATTATATCCATTATTACGAACAGTTACAACCATTGGTACTACTAACATGTACTACTGCCGCTCCTGTGACTTCATTCATAACGATGGCTACTACGACACCCTGATCATCGACACTACAACCCTGATATAGCTATTCAACCACCCCCCCTCACCCCTATACTACTCACTACTACAAATAGTAATTGCAAATACTATTACCAGTAGTATTAATAGGCATTCAGTAGTTTCTTATGGTACTACAATTGCTACATACAACACCACTACTCTTGTACCAACCATTACACACATCAACATAAACACCCAGCAATAAAATAAACAACAAGCTCTCTACAGAAGACACACAGGAAAGGCTAACAACCACATGAGTACGATTAATTAGCTACAACAAACACACATTCTCTCTCAACAAATTTTAAGCACCTAACTTGCACATCCTCATTGACAAAGTGACTTCCAAACTCTCCAAGGACAACACGTTAAACTGAAGTGACTAACTACGGGAGACCTAGCCAGGACTCGTCACCAGGGTGTGTTGATGATGGTGGTTTCGTCTGAGTTGGTGTATGGGAGGGGCAGGACTGTCCGCCCCCGGGCATTGTGTATACTCCTCGGTCCTCTCCAGCTGTCCCTCCTCCTCCTCCTCCTCCTCCTCCTCCTCCTCCTCCTCCTCCCACTCCCTCTCCTTTTGCTACTCCTCTCTTTCCCTCCTATTCTCCTACTGCTCCTACTCTTCTCCTCTCTCACCCCTTCAGTTATTAGCTTAAACACCAATCTCTTCAATTACACTGGATGACGGTTAAGTAAATTCCTGTTTATATTTGGTATCGGTTACAAGGATCTTCCTTATAACAAGCTATGAGGTAACGGATGAATTAAAAGCTCATTTTCCCAGGTTGCTGTTTAAATGGAGCCTTGTTTATCTTACATATCGATTAATTGGACCTTCTGTTAAGCTACGCAAAGTCTCTTATCCTACATGTCAATTAAATGGTCCTATAAATCCCTGGATACCGTTGATATTGTCCCTAATATTCAATATATCGGTTAAAACATTGTCTCTCTATTCTGGCTACCGGTTAAATTGTCCATATTATCCCCCATACCAATAAAATAAGTAGTCTATTCTAGCCATAGGTTAAATAAACTCAAATTACTCACTATTCCGGTTAAAGCATAGTCCTATCTTGGTTACCGGTTAAGTAGTCCCTCTATTCCGGACACCGGTTAAATTTACGTCCGATTAGCAGGGATATTGTCGAAATGGATGTCTGTTTATTCAAGCTACCAGTTAAGAGGAGTCCTGTCTGCTCCACACAGATTAAATAGGCCTCCCTAAGTCTGTTTACCTATGATAACAGTGATTGGTGGCCACTCTACCTACGATAATAGTAAACGGTGGCCACTCTACCTATGATAATAGTTGATAATAGTAAACGGTGGCCACTCTACCTACGATAATAGTAAACGGTGGCCACTCTACCTACGATAATAGTAAACGGTGGCCACTCTACCTACGATAATAGTAAACGGTGGCCACTCTACCTACGATAATAGTAAACGGTGGCCATTCTACCTACGATAATAGTAAACGGTGGCCATTCTACCTACGATAATAATAAACAGTGTCCACTCTACCTCCGATAATAGTAAACGGTGGCCACTCTACCTCCGATAATAGTAAACGGTGTTATCTTTATCCAGCAAGCCAATTGAACTTAATCCTGTTGAAAGAGAACCGAAACTGGTTTATTCAGGACACCGATTAGCTGAAGTGGATCACTTGAAGAATCTCGAGCTAACTTAACGCTAACAACCACATCCCCTCAAATAGTGTTAAGGTGATTAATCTTTAGGTGAAATAAACTGGGATGGTGATTCTTCAGATGACCCGTAACTATTGCCACGATACATAAAGCAGGGATTAATTACGCTTCAACAGGTATGAGATAATGCTAATAGACGCCAACAACTGGATAATACAGTGGTTAACATCTATCATAAAACAGAAAGTTATACAGATGTTAACACGAACAAACAAATAGAGGAGTAATGCGTAACAGGAGGATTTAAGTAATATACATGAATCGATATTAACAACGTAGAATATCGTAACTGAATTTTAAACGTGTAATTGGGCATGAATATTACAAGGTATTATAACTAAATAACTTCAGTCAAATAGCCCCAAGACACACATATATGGAAATCATTTAAAATTTGAGATTAAAGTAAAGGAAATTAAAGGCATTTGTCTTCTTGATTGCTCACTTTCCGTAACAGAAAGTTATTTTGCAAAATTACCAATATGCATGCCGGTCATTTTACAAAATAACTGATTCCGCAAAAAAAAGTAAAATATACACTATGAATATAACTTTAGGTCAGAATATAATCGATTTCAGTTAATATGTGGATACAGAATACAGGCCGTCAACAATTACAGAGTGGACCAATAAGAGGCTATGTGGAACGACAGTCTAAGACTCTTTAAGATGTAGCAACACTCAGCTTGGCTCAGTCACTCAAAATGAGACACTTCTGTTATATATATTCCTCTCAACACTACAAGAGGCTGGGGAGAGAACCACGGCGGCTCGTACTTTAGAGGAGCTGATGGGTACTCGTCTCCGTCAGTTCTACTGTCTGAACAATTCTCTACGGATATCTTGCCTCAGCGGGGGTCTTATCTCCTTTGACTGATAACCGTAAAATGGGCTGCAATTATTTCCCACTGTATTATTTAACAATGCTCTCGAGTTGGTGTGTATTGCTGATCTAATATTAACGTCTTGTACTATAATGTTGGCTTAGCTTTGTGTTGTATATTTGGTAAATTACTGAGTGTGGATTATGATTCTGATAGTGTGTGTGTGTGTGTGTGTGTGTGTGTGTTCGACCAGCACTTAGATAAATAAGTAAGCGATACTCCAGAATTCTATTATAAGCTGTTTACCACGTGTTACTTTATTCTTATGAGGAAATATAACCTCAGTTGGTGAATGGAGTGGCGGCACCCTGCTGTGAAACTGAGGCCTCGGGGTCTTAAAGTAAATCCAGAAGCGTAATTATACACGATTGAATTTAAGACGTTGAAGTAAAGAGATTAACATGTGGTAATGTTAGAATGAAATTACGAAAAATGAATTGGGTTTAAGCTCTTTAGTTTATTATAGGAGGAAACTGGAGAATCGTCCCAGACAGGTCAAGTGGTGTTCAAAGTTATGGGGTCATATTAAGAGCTATATTCTTCCTTCGTTTATTTCTATTCTTCATAAGCTTTTCCTAAGTTATAGTGTTTTGCTGTATGAGAGCATCACCTTAACATGCAAGTCGCCCCAAAGAGATTAGTAACCCAACATTAGTTCCGGTTGTTTAATGTCTGAGGCAACATTAGTGGGTGAAAATAAAAAAAAAGTTGGACGAATATCATGCAATGAATTCTGAATTATCGAATGCTTATTACCAGTTGCCTCATAGGATTACCAAGTTGGGAACGTACCATCTTCGGGATTACATGAAAGTAATTTGATCCAGGAGTCATATCTTACATACTTTCATATTTGTCAGAAATTGCTAACTGAATTTGAGCATCAGGAAATGAATTTCAGAAAGCAGAGAACTTGTCTCCGGGTTAATGGTTATCATCTTTTGCTAACTGCATCTCTTTCATCTTGGTTTAGTCAGTGCGTTGTTGAGTGAGAGTCAGCTGTGCGGTAATAACTTGTCTTACCATCTTCTGCTCCCGAGTGTGTTCTCTCTACATCATCTCTCGAATTTATCCTCACCATTGTCAAGGTTACAGTTATATCAAGAACGAAAATATATTTAAAAACAGCTCACTCACTCAAAAGATATTAAAAAGATATCTGAGCACTATATGCAGTTAAATATTTGCCCTTACAAGAGCGAGTTTTGCAGGTGATGGAGTCTAGACTGTCTCCATCCCATCGTCAAACTTCGTATATAACAGAAGAGAGTTGATCATTCATCATATTCCGAATGTTCAACCCATGATCGAGATAGATCAGTACACACAATTACAATATCTTAAAGATAATATGATATATAATATATATATATATATATATATATAATTTGATCGCAGAGGCACACATACACACTGCGCTAAACAACGCCAACAACACGAAAGTCTACTGTTGTCCACGTAGATTATACAAATTACACCACAGCCGCCAGCCAGTACACCTGATCAAGTACTCCAGCACCAGCATCACGAAATTATCCTTACATATTTTCATTTCTTCCTCCACCATAACTTACTTTAATGCTACCTACCGCTACCACCAAGCACCCCGCCTCAGTTTGAATCATCGCTGCCGGGCGCCGAGATAACTGCTGCATTAAAGTGAGGTAACAATCAAGCCATTCCCACTAGCGACCACAGGTAATTTATCTCTCTTAGGTACCGTCGGCACAGGCACATGATGATGAGTTTCGTGTTCTGTGTTTAACGGGTCATCGCTTTTCAAACACTCGGCTTCTGGCTTCCCTGAGTTTGTAGGTTCATGCTTGTTGCTTTAATAGCTTTATTTATGGAGTCACTTGATTGTATAAATTCTTTGTGTTACAGACCTCATTATTTTTTCAGACTTTCGCTGGTTCTTGTGTTCCAGACCTTTGCTGGATCTTGTGTTTCAGGTCGTAGCTGGCTCTTGTGTTTCCAGACCTTCACCGATTCTTTGTGTTCCAGACATTCGCTGGCTTTTGCATTCCAGACCATCGCTGGCTCTTGTGTTTTTAGATTTTCACTAGCTCTGTTTCCAGACCTTCGCTGGCTCTTGCGTTCCAGACCTTAACTGGCTCTTGTGTTTCCAGACCTTCGCTGGCTCTTGTGTTTCCAGACCTTCGCTGGCTCTTGCGTTCTAACATTTATCAGTGAACTAAATTTCGATTGGTCAATCATTCAACCTAGAGGTCGTTTACGGATGATCATCAAGCACCAACTATTCCTTAATGCCAAGTAACAATGCGAATGGGGTTATCTACTGGCACACAACCAAAAAACAAAACCCCAGGTCCAATGAACAGATTAAATGGTACCCGAGGAACAATCAACCAAGAGTTCCACTTTTAATCATTAAAATGGTAAATAACACATAATAAAGATCTAAGTCCACAGAAACTCGAGTGACAGATCACATGAAATAAGTAGATCAGTACGCCAGTTTAAACTCCCAGAAAGAAAATTCCCTATTTCCTTAGAACTTGACTGCGAGGGTGTAAGAGCCAGTCAGTTAAGTCACCAAATATCCCAGGTGACAGAAATGTTAACGATTTGTTTACAACTTGACTGAGACGACCTAAAACTTAGAATACTATAAGAAACCCCCCACTGAAACGACTTGCGTAAATCCTCTAGAAAATGGTTGACATACCGATACCTAAAAATTAGCTAACAACATCACGACATTCAGCTAGGATGACTTAAAAAATATCTTAGTAACACAACTGAGATGGCTGGATACTCGATGTAGTCTCATGAACAGTTTAGTTGACTTAAGATCCCAGATAAGTCTACTAAGAACACAGCTGAGACGACTGACTCAGAATCCAGTTAACGATCTATGACACACCAAGCAACAGAGAAACTCCCGCCCTGGCTAGCTGAACACAGCATCCCGCTGAGGTGAGGACCGGACAGATACTCTCCCTCCCTTCTCTCACCCCGACACACGTGACGGGAAGAAGGTCAAGGCTAACCGGACAAAGGCACCGGAAGGGGTCTCCGCCCTCTACCCTCCCTCCCCCACCCCCTCAATCATCCCCATTACCCTCCCCCCCTTCAACCTGCGCCCCCGGGTTCCCCCTCCATCATCCCCAGTCCCCTCCCTCTCCATCATCCCCAGTCCCCTCCCTCTCCATCATCCCCAGTCCCCTCCCTCTCCATCATCCCCAGTCCCTCCCTCCATCATCCCCATCAGTCCCTCTCCATCTCTCCATCATCCCCAGTCCCTCCTCCATCATCCCCAGTCCCTCCTCCATCATCCCCAGTCCCCTCCCCTCCATCATCCCCAGTCCCCTCCCTCTCCATCATCCCCAGTCCTCTCCTCCTCCATCATCCCCAGTCCCCTCCCCCTCCATCATCCCCAGTCCCCTCCTCCCTTACAACTTGCACCCCAGGTTCCCCCGCAGCATCACACCTCCGACATGTTCTACCTGCTCAATAGCGACATTTCGCAGAATGACTTCACTCATTACAGTGTATTGAATCCAAGAGTATCACGCTGAGGAGAATTATATGCTTAAGAATTGTGTGATGGTGCGGTTTCAAAACACCAAGCGGCCACTTTGATAACACGGCATCAGAAATATTGCATGTACGTTTCTGATTCAATGGAGAAACAGTGCAGATACATCAGTCTTAATAATAAATCTTAAACGATCAATTTTACATTCATTTTAATTAGTTTATTTTTCACTCGTCATAAGGTTATGTCTGTGTTAGGAGTGACATGTGTATTACTTTAAACAAAAGTTTCCTTGGGCCTTTTTTTTTTAGGTCTTTTTTAAGGTGACATTGTTTTCCTCTCAACGTGGAGTTTGGTTTGCAATTCCTTTCTTCTCCATTATCATTATTCTGTTTGTTTCCACTCCTTGGTGTTTGATTTAGGCATTACTGAAGCTCCCCCTCCGGTCTATAACAATCTATTACCCAAGGATAACATGATCTTTCCTTATATGTCCTCTCTGGTAGAGACACAACCGCATCTTGCACACAATTTGTCATCTGGAGCCATTAATCTTACCTCTAACTCCCATTCTTTCTCTCCTTCCCTCTTAGGTCTCCCAAGGGTTCGCCATCTTGAGACAACACGTCCCTCAAGCTGCCCGCAAGAAGAAATTGAGCAAGGTGGAGACTCTGCGCTGCGCTGTTGACTACATCCGGGGTCTCCAGCTGCTGCTAGACGACCACCCCCCGACGCAGCCTCCCGTACCCGACCCCACCAACGCCACACACCTCCACCACCACCACCATCACCACCACCACCAGCAGCTGCAGCAGCAACACCCCCAGATGTTCCTGCAGCCCCACCATACCATAGAGCCGCATATCCTGAAGCTTCCCGTGGCTGATGAGACCTTCCAGTCACCCGTCTCCCTCAGGTGCGTCCTCCGTCACCACCGTATTGTGTCGGCACATTATTTTCTTCCCTGTTACTTTTGTGGACGGCACGAGTTGGATACTGTGTGTGTGTGTGTGTGTGTGTGTGTGTGTGTGTGTGTGTGTGTGTGTGTGTGTGTGTGTGTGTGTGTGTACGTGTTAACTCACTAGTAGGTCACTTCAGTAGACATTACACATTAATTTTCAGTCATCTATCAAAAATCACCAAAATTCTTCGGAAAGAACCTGTAATATACAACAGAGGACGTCACCAACCCCATACAACCTCTCCCTCCTGTCACCATGCAACCTCACTCAACCTCGCCTGCCATTAACCGCTTTCAACCTCATGCCAACATTTACCCGTACATAATCTCTCCTGTGTCACTAAATCCAGTTAACCTCTCCTGCCACTAATCCCCCACACTAACACTAGACGTTAATCAGCTATTTACATAAGGGAACATTTTGGTCTTGTAAACTGTTCCATGATTAGAAGTTATAGACTATATTCACTTAACGCCAAATGAAAACACGAGAAAAAACTTTTATCGCTTCACTACTTCTACTGTATTGTCCATTGAGCTTTGTGCTGTATTTATATGTTCAAATTATATATAATTTATAAGAATAAGGGTTCAAGTTGAAGCTCTCCAGATAAATTCGTTTTTTTTTCGCAATAATATTAAGCACTCTAGCTTATTTCATCTGAAGATTAACCACTTGGCACTAACTTAACCTAACCAATCCCCCCAGGTAGCATTAGACTGGTTAATCTTCATGTGAAATAAGGAGGGGCCTAATCTTTTGTAAAATAAGCAGGGACCTAATCTTCATGTGAAATAAGCAGAGACCTAATCATGCGAAGTAAGCTGTGGGCCTAATCTTCATGTGAACCGTTTTTTTACACAACTTTACAGATGGTATAAAGACCTCAGATAATGTGAGAAATTTCCTTATAGGTACGACGGTGTTGCTGGCGCCTTCCTCAGGACCTCTCCTACCGACTCTGAGGACGGACAATCCCCTGGCCACCCTTTCTTCAGCGACAAGCTCTCCCCGCCCTCCTCCTCCTCCACCGCCGCTCATGGTATGGGCGTGGGCGTGATCAAAACAGAGGCTGGTGAGGGGAGGGCCTACGCTCGGGAAGAACAGGATCTGCTGGACGCCCTGGCCTGGTGGCAACACAATATACAGCCATAGTCGGAGTATTGGGTGAGGGGATGTGTGTATACGGTTGAAGTGGACGGTGAGGAGAGAGAAGACTGGCGGGTGTGTTGGAATAGTGTGAACGTGTGTAAGACAGACAAAACGAGTGTTATACTAAGGTTGTTTGTGAGTGATTACCCACGTGTGAAGACTTAAGGAAAAAAAAAGACTAAGAAAGTGAATCTATAAACTATATATTGACGGCACACGGAAGGACAGTAATGAACAACACTCGCGCCAGGAGCCCAGCGCGTGTTGCTGTGTGCTGTCAGTGAGTGAATGTCACCATATATTATTTATTTTCCCCATGCAGTGTCTCACCCAAATGCTCTTTTTGATATAATTTAAACGTCCAATACAGTTAAGAAATTTATGTGAATGTATATACATAATTCGTTGTTTCATCAAGTAAATATCAGATGAATGAAAAAAATCGTTTGTGAAACACTGGATGTATCAAGATACATATTATTATTATTATTATTATTAACCTTAGTGTATGAAGGATTGAGAGTCAGCTCCGAACCACTACCTCCTTTCTTTCTTGTCGTTTAACCTCAATTTCCCAACATACAGTACATCTGACCCTTCTACTCTCCCATCTTCCTTCTATATCTCCCTCCCTCCCTCCCTCCCCGCCTTCAGTTCTCCTCATCTTTTCGCATTTTCTCCCAACCACTATATCTCCTTCCATCAATAACCTAAAACACGAAAAGTCTCTCTTGTCCAGGCATTAAGCTGTAGCCTCCAACACCTGACAACCTTCCCCAGGAGTCTGAGCTGATTCTAATCGTCCCTCGAGGTTCTAGTCCAAGCTGGATTGAGGTCCTGCTCAAGACTCAATCCATGCTTAATTCCCCCAAGCTTAAGTGCTATTATTATCACTACTTCCGTTTTTTTTTATTCACTGAGGTTTTTAATTAGCTGCTAAGACATACCACACCGTGTTCGTATAATTTATTAATATATATTTACTCACTAAGTTATTTCCTTCATTTGGATATATTATTAATATTTTTGTAAGTGCCTTGTGTGTCCCTGGTTGTGCCTTATACTCCACCTCCTCAGAAGTGCCTTTGTAAACATACCTTGCCTCTGGAAGACGACAGTGCCTTGTAGGATACCGCCCTGTGAAAACAAAAAGAACTTGTATTGTAAAAAAAAAAAAGACAATCCAAGTAAAAAGATATAATGCGTTGTAAAACAGACATGGTATCTTGTAGAAAAGCAAATAGATAATACCTTGTAGACATAATGCACTGTAAAAAAAAATAGCAATAGGACGATTCTCTCCCATACAGCACAAGACTGATTATTAAACCTGTATACTCACTCTGATGATATGATGAAACATTGAATACTCTTCTGCTAACAGGTAAACCACCTTGTAAACTCATCCTACTAGTATACTGAACCTCTTTCTCACACCTCCAATAGCGAGGGTAAACCACTTTGTATATTCACTCATGAACAAATTGAATACTCCTCTACTAACAGGTAAACAACATTGTATACTCAACCTGCTGATAAACTAAGACTTTGAATTCACTTTTACCACCCAGTAAATCATCATGTATATCTATATAATAAGATACGAACAAGGAATCTCATACTAAGCACATTCTTGAAGCTTCTATATATTATAAATCATGGATATCCAGGCCCTTCATTCAGTAAATATATAAATATATCTCCATATGACACCTTAACAAATGCACCTCAGTACAGTAATTCCAGACTGTGTGATGACTGGATAAACTCTTACCTAGACCTGTCATTGTAATTTACTGCAATATTTAATAAAAATATCTTTTAAAATATTTCAGTCATGTTTTTTCACTAATTCCTTTAATCTATTTATATTTTGTTTGTAAGAGCACACGAGGCTAGTGACCTTCCCGCACTCATTCTTATCTAAGTGACCTGTTACCTTGTTAAGCTCCCTTGGTGTGCAATATGCATATAGAGTATATATGTATAAAGATACAAATATATATATGGAAGTATGTATGCATGTATGCATGTGTGTGTGTGTATGTCCTCAATACAAATTTCAATTTCAAACTACAACTAGAATTATGCTGTCATCGTTATCGAACAAGATTCAGCTGGAGGTCACACCCTGGGACAGGAGAGGCGACGTTCAGTAGTACACACAGCGAACCACCACGCTCCCTGCACACTGTACTGTACTCCTCTAATGAAGTTCAACATATGAGACTTTTACAGGTCACTTCACACACCACATACCTGTACATTCGGTGATAAAGTTGTCAGCTTTGCTTCAAGAATTTAATTATAAAACAACTTGTGAGACGATCTTATACGGACGGCCACAGAGTACAGAACGTCAGGGGGGGAGTGGCATTTATCCCGGATGCGAAACAATGAAGAATAAAAATGTCATTTGAAAAGCGGTCGTAAATTCAGTGCCAAAAGGTCGAAAGTCAGTGGAGGAAAAACAATGCCCGGGTGATCTTTTTTCTTTTTCTTTCCACAATACTAACTTATCTCACCTGCAGCTGCCTCGCTAAAGACAATATAATGGATGACAATCAATACGAAAGTGAGAAATAAGGCCAAGAGAAGATGTATATAACTTGTTTCCTTCATCAGTTATGTTCAAGAGGACTGTGACTTGTGAAAATCCCATTATCCGCTGTGTCATACAACCTTCGGTACATTAACGATGGAACAAGTAAAAATTACATTTCATGGCATTTTTGTAACTATGATACAGATCTCTACTGCCATTGTATCCCAGTGGAGAGATGAGCTACTCAGTACAGTTGGTAAGATACTGAGTACAAAATGTACTTGTGATCAAGAATATTCAATAAACATCAAGTCAAATGAAAATACATATGGAAAAATAGACAAATTTTTTAAGTGGGATCTTGATATACAAAAGGTAAATGAAATACAAGAACAAGTACATATCCAATTATATTTAATAGTGATGTTATTCTCAACTCAAGTGACCAGTGTTACACATTTATGACATATTATTTAAAGTTATGTATCAAACGTTTTCGTATTCAAGACAAATCACTCTTACTGTCGGGCCAGCAGACGAAGCAACGTACACGTACATACTCCCCTCCTTAGTATTCAACACAGCAACAAGGAGCTCTTCCTTAACGGCAATAAATACCAACATGACAACAAGCACCGCAACAAAAAGACTAATCTTAAGACAGATCAGATGAGTACAGTAGGTTGTGAGGTGTCCCTGATAAAGCGCTCTCACTGCTGCCGCCATCAAGCCCAAGCAGGAGTAAAAGACGGCGGAATAAACGTTGTAGTAAGTATATCCACCGCCTGTAATTTACTTTCCCAATTCTCTTCATCTATCACCCTGATCTAAGACAATTTGTTTGGTGTCAAGGGCGAGGATTAATGTTGTCATTACGAAGATAGAGAAGGAGAACACAATCTCTAATTTGGGATCATATAATTTTCTTCCACTGTGCGTCCATCTTCCACCGACAATTTGTTCTTGTACGTGGCGAAAATTGCGGTAATTTGTGACTTGCTGTTCAGGAGTACCCCAGGGAGTGTGTCTGTAGCTCTGAATGTTCTGGTGTGGTGGTTATGTGAGGCTACTGAATGACTCGCTAGTATATAATTTAACTTATAATGAATACTCAGGTAAAGACCAAGTAGACATAGCGGTTCATTGACAGATACACACACACACACACACACACACACACACACACACACACACACACACACATGGATATACAAATAAGATAAGCAATAAATAAATGTCCATGTCTTGTGTTCTCAATGCAACATCTGTTTATACGTTGCTTCATTGTGCTTGTTGTTATTCATATGTTGCGCCAAATATATAAATGATAAGTGAAGGTGACAGGGAGGTTGTACCAGCAACATAAATTCACCGGCCACCACAGAGAATGATGATCATTCTTGACTTTGTTTACAGTTAATGCATGTTGAGAAGTGCACGACAAGCAGTTCAGAATTATAAAGATGTGAATCGTACATACATACATACTGTACATACATACATACATACATACATACATACATACATACATACATACATACATACATACATACATACATACATACATACAGTACATACATATATACATACATACATACATACATACATACATACATACATACATACATACATACATACATAGACATACATACATACACCCTAGATTTAGGGGTAAAAAATTACAGTATGGTGCTAAATTTTTATTACAAAGATTAATGTTCAGGTATTATATTCAGCTAATTTAACGATTGCAGTACACTTTATTGTTTCTGAGTAAAAGTGTATGCCGATCGAGAAATTTACATATTTTGACAGAAGTGAGCATGGCAGTGTCGTAGCAGTCCTTGTAATTTAAGATTGGACGGTAAAGGAAATGGTGGAATAACATGGAACTGGTGTCCCATAATATGACACCATAACAAGGTGTGTCACTGGGTCAAGGAGTTCAAACGTGGGCGCGAGAACCCCTGTCAGGAAGACCTTCAGATATCATCGACGACTAAGTCGAGAGCTTAATTCTGGAGGACCAGATCAAAGTCTATGAAATAATGTTGTGACCATCATCCATGAATACTTGGGGATGTGTATGGTTTCTGCAAGATGGGTTCCGGGAAACCTGTGCGCTCAGGACTAACACCAGAGGATGGTCTCTGGCTGCTTGAACTATACAAAACCGATCCAACTAACTTTTTTTACTCTCTGGTGACGAGAGGTGAGACTTGGATTCATCACTGGAACTTAAAGCTAAATATGGAATCCATATAATGAAATTACCCGAATTCTCCGACCGCCAAGAAGTTCAGAAGTCAGTTCTAAAAAATATGGCTCCTCATTGATAAACTACCACAAACTCGAGATGAATTTGCCTGACAGCGGTGTGGAGTCGGCGCGGGATCTGAGAAAATCTTCCTTCAGCAGTCCTTGTCGACACTAACTATACACAAAAGTCATATGCAGTCTGCCACGTCTTCGACAGTAGCCCAGCAGGACATTAAATAATATCCACTAATACCAGGTTCCCCGGCATTTATGTCGCTGACGAAGTGATTCATCGGTTAAAATTGCTCGTCTCGGCGTATAGATGTGTGATAATCCCTGACAAGATCGAGATGGCGACAATCTTTAGCTGTCTGAGATGAGAAGGATAATGAAGACAAATTTCTGTACAATGTTCAAATATATATTTTTTAGCACCGTAACCTTGCCCATTGTCACAAAATGCCAGGAAAATCACTTTGCATGTCTTGACTCCCGAGACACTCCTAACTACCATCGACATCCCAACATACCCATATCTCATCTAATGCTGTATTTTCATTGAAGTTATTTATCAATTGCTACTTAAACTGGGTAAAACTTAAAATAATTCGTAACCAGACATTTAAGACAGGAGTTAGAGGTCTTCAAGAATGACCAGTTGGTGCCGAGCTGACCAGTCGTGCAGTAACTTATAGGTCATGTAAGTATTGAGGCTAATATCTCTTGATCTTATCTCGCTAAGATCCCGCCCATGACACAAATTACTGTAATAGCCAACTGTACCGTGTGTTTGTTTATCAATTGAACCAAGTATCTGTGTAGCAATTGTGCTCTGTGACTATCTTAAGATCAACTGAACTGTCTGTGTAACGAACTAATAAATTTCTGTGCCAAATGTTTGACTCGGCTCTAGTGACCATTCAGCCCGGAGCTCAAGCCAGGTCAGGGGTACTATTACAAGGCTGCCTCATAGACCTGACTCACACTTTTTACAATCCCCGCTATAAGTGCAGGCAAGGTTACACACACACACACACACACACACATATGCACAAAGTTAAGACGTCCTTTCCCTTGTGTGTGTGTGTGTGTGTGCGTCTTCCAGTAAGGTTTGGTTCATTAGCTAACGGAAAAAAAAAGTTTATATAAGAAAAAAAGTAACAATAGTCTCGCTGACTTGAGACGGAGTCAGGAACCTACAGCTGGTAACCTTGGCAACGGATTAACTGTCAATGGAACCCGATTTAACAAATGATTATAACATAAATTTAAATGACAAGTAAGAAAAAATATCAGCTCTTTATCCTGAAGACCTACAACACCTTTAAGTTTATGAGGAAGTAACCAAAAAAATGCCATGGAAATAGTAACATAAATATAATAACTAATGTTGGATAAAATAAGTAACAGACAGAAAATAAAGGAATGCTAAATGGAGACTTTAATTCAGAAGCGGATGAAAATAGAGAAAGAAAGAATAAGAGAAGGAAGGAGAGGACAAGAAAAGGAAGAAGAGAATAAGATAAGGAAGAAGCCAAGAGAAGGAAGGAGAAAATAAGAAAATGAGGGAGAGGACAAGAGAGGTAAGGAATATCTAGGTGTACTGGACGTGGAAGACCAAATAGCACAGTGAAGCTGAATCTTAAAAGGTCAAAATATTCATATAAAATAAAAAGCAAATGTGTCCCGAGAGGATCAGTACTTACGAGGAAGTTGAAATTTCTGAGAGAGAGAGAGAGAGAGAGAGAGAGAGAGATTCAATACTCTTTCTGAAGTTCCACCGTAACGTGACCAGGTAAAGTAAGTTCTCTTAAAAACATGTGTATGCGTTCAATATTTTACCGCTTAAGTGAAAAAAAAGTAGACCCTTATGTAGTTAAGGTAGAGGCACAGTGTAATTTGAACGCCATTTACAGCGGTAAGTTGATAGTTACGAACTTTAAAATGAGCAAGTCAGACGTGTTCTCATACTTACAGCAAGGCGATA